AAATAATATATAAAACTTATAATATCATATAATTTAAAATAAATTTTTTCATATTTAAATATTTATAAGTTAATTTAGATTTGACTTGAAATTTGATTTGAACTTGACTCAACTCAAATAAATTCAAGTCAAAATTGAGTTGAGTTAAACTTGAGTTATGTCAAATTGAGTTGAGTTTAAAATTTATATAACTTGAATTAAGTCAAATTGGAAGATTTTATAAAATAAATTTGACTCGACTTGACTCGAAAATAATGAGTTGAATAGAGTTGATCTTTAAACTTGACTCAACTTGACTTAACTTGACTTATTCAGAACTCTAGCAAATATGAAATACAAGGCAAAACTGTGACGAGCCTATAAAGCAAAACTGAAATAGATAGCAAAATCACGATATGCCTGTAAGACAATAAAAATTTTAGTTTTTTTCTTATCATTCGTTTAATTTCATTTTTTTTTATATAATTCATTTTTCTTTTCATATTATACGTTTAATTTAATTTTTTTTTTCATTTTTTTATTTTATTTTATTTTCCTATTTTGTTTCATTTCCTAATTTCATTTTCATTTTGTTTTATTTTTCTAATTTCGTTTTATAGTTTCTTTTCATTTTTTCATTTTGTTTCATTTTTCTTTTGTTTTATAATTTTTTTTTATTTGTTTAATTTCATTTTTTCATCTCATCTTGTTCACTTAATTTTATTTTATAGTTTCATTTCAGTTTCTTAATTTTATTTTTTCATCTTGTTTAGTTTTCTTAATTTCATTTTTTCATCTTATTTAGTTTTCTTTTCGTTTCATTTTTATTTTTTCTTATTTTTTATTTTATTTTATTTTATTTTATTTTTTTTAAAAAAAAAATTAAGTAAATTAATAAAACTGTCATATAAAGCTTTGAATGGTTCAGATTAATCTGAAAATTTTCAGTTTAGATTAACTTCAATTTAGTTTTAGATTGCAAAAATTTCAATCTGAAAATTTTCAGTTCAGTTCAGATTTTTTTTGGATTATAAATCTAATTCAAATCGAAAAAAATCTGAACTGAACTGAAAATTTTGAATTAATCCAAAATTTTGGATCGTTTAGAATGATTAAATTTATCATTCTAAATGAACGATAAAAGAATTGTTCATTTAGAATAATTGAAGTTATCGTTCTAAACGAATGATAAGAAAATCGTTCGATTGGAACGATTAAATTATCATTTCAATCGAACAATAAAAGAATCGTTCAATTAGAACAATTAAATTATCATTTCAAATGAACGATAAAGAATTGTTCATTTGGAATGATTGAAGTTATCATTCCAAATGAACGATAAGAAAATCATTTGATTGAAATGATTAAATTATTGTTCCAATCGAACGATAAAAGAATTGTTCATTTAGAACAATTGAAGTTATCATTTCAAATGAACAATAAGAAAATCATTCAATTGGAATAATTAAATTATCATTCTAAAAGAACAATTTTCTTATCGTTTATTTGGAATGATTGCTGTTATCATTCCAAATGAACAATAAGAAAATCATTTGATTAGAATGATGAAATTATCATTTCAAACGAACGATAAAAGAATCGTTCATTTGAAATGATTGAAGTTATCATTCTAAACGAATGATAAGAAATTATTCAATTGGAATGATTACCATACTATTCCGAAAATAAGCATCCTCCAAAAATAAGCACCTCCTAAATTGATTCAGATCTGAAAATAAACACCCTCTGAAATTATAATTTTTTTTTTTAAAAGTTTTTACAAATAATTTAATAACTAAATAATAAAAATAATATTGATAATAAAATTTCTGTGCATTTTTATTATAAAATTTATTACAATTTTGGAATCTTACGATCCTTTGCAAATTATTATATAATTTCATAACATCCTTCTGAATAACTATTCGTTTTAGCAATGTCAGTGCTAACTATTGTAATATAAAAAAATTGATTAGTAATTATCATTCTGCTATTTCTCTTTATCACTATCACCATCATCAATGATATCACCATCACCAGTAATATCATCATCACTAACAATATCATCACCAGATTCATCAACGATATCATCATCAGATTCATCACTAATGTCGTCATTTTCACTGATTTCATCATCTGGGATCTTTGCAATAGAAAGGGAGGAAACTCAAAAAAAAATAAAAAATGAGTTAATAATAAATCTGAACAAATTATAGTATTTGGAACATTTTTGGCTTATAAACTAAAATTTTAATTTTTTTGGAGTTTCCTCCCTTTCTATTGCAAAGGCCCCATCTGATCTATCTAAAGATAATGATATCTTACAGGTTTTAAATGATTCTATAATCATTTCGTCTAGAATCCTTTCCCAAGCCCGCTTTACCCATCTACAAATATCGGATAGTTTGGCACAACGAAGGTTGCCTGCTATAGTCATTCCAGCTCCTTCTTCTACCATCTATAAATGCCATTTTTTGCGTAGATTGTCCTTAAAAGGCTTATTAATTGTAACATCCAATAGTTGACATATGCTGGTTAGACTATCGGGAATGACTGCTATATCAAAACTATGATTTTAAAATTTTTTCTTGACAGATTCTTCTAAATGACCTCTGAATGAATCGTATATAATAATTGCTAGGCCATTATTGATCAGGTCCTTGATATAATCAACATACTTTATCATTAGATTGGTATCTATCCATCTGCTTTTTTGAAACCAAACGAAAACTCTGGGTGGAATCTGTTCACCACGCGGGAATTTTTTTCCCTTAAAAATACAAATCAGCAGAAATTTGGTTCTGTCTAAATAATTTTAAAATGTTTAATAAAAAGTTTAATTAGAATAAGTTGGATTGTGTCAATACCAATCAGTCTCTAAATTAATGCTATACTTGAAAATGTACGTACCTGCAGCACATGTCAAAACAACTGTGAATCGATTTTTTTCATTTCCAGTTCTGTGGATATGGATCGTCTTTTCGCCTATTTGATCAATAATAAAGTTTCCTATCATATTGAACCAGACAGGAGTCTTGTTCATATTTAAAATATTAGCCATTTCGTAGGATTTTTTAGTTTAAAGTCGGATAATGTATTGTTGAAAATTACTTAGCAATTCATTAATTTGTGAAGGAAGCTTTTGGAAAACTTTAGTACAGCGCCGCCGAGACAACTTGTATCTTTTCATAAAACCAGACATCCAGCGGCAAGACGCTTTAAAATCTGCAGAATTGCCATAAATGTTTATCATTTCTTGCTCCCTTAAAATTTCCAACATTTTGATTTTTACGGATGTATAAGTAACATCTAATCCCTTCTTTCTCTGTTCTATGATCCAATTATAAAGTTTTTTTTGCTTCAGGAAAAAATTCTTTTCTTCCGGAACTAACTTTTTTAATATTTTGGTTATTTTCAGACCACTCTTTGCTTGCTTTTATCTATTTACCAAACATACTACTATCAATATTGAAGTATCTTGCAGCTTCATTTCTTCTATTTTCAATGGCATAATTAATGACTTCTTGCTTTTTCTCTATAGAATAGGAATTGCAGCAAATTTTAACCCTTTTAAAACATTTAGTTAAAACTTTTCTTACCCTCCTCTTTCTTCTTTGTGGCATATTATTCAAAAACAAGTTTTAAATCAAGTTTTTGAAAGTTTACGTGATTTATATTTCACGTTATGCATTACGCTATATTTACATTATACAAAGATTGGCAATATCGGCAAATTTTCTTTAAATTTTTTGTCCAATCTAAATTTTATAAAAATATTCTGAAAATAAGCACAACCGTTGCAAAAAAAGGATGCTTATTTTCAGAATAGTACAGTAATTATATGATGAATATGATTCTTAATTGAGAAGGTATATGCTTCTTTAAATGGTGAAGTTTTTGATGGGGTGTCTTTCAAATTAATTGAAATAAGCTTTCCTGTAATTAGTAGTAAAAGTAATCCGTTACGAATCTCTTTAAGAGTTGTTACACTATAGAGAACCTGATCTGCTTTAAATTCTGAATGACATATAATTTTAACAAGTTCTTGATAAGCATTGGTATCTATGAAATAAAATTTCTTGTAAATTGTGAATATTAATAAATAACGATTAAAATATTAAATATTACCTATATTATTTTTTATAAACTATATAAATATTCACATTGTTGTGAAGCTTGAAAAATAAGGACCACCATCACTCGTATATCTTGGTAATTTAATATTAATATCATAATATCTTTTATTGTCATTTGTGTTTTGTGCAAAATTATTATCTTTATAGAAATATTCATTGTCATCACTATTAAACGAATCGATAGCTGATGAAGTTAATTTTAACGGTAAAAAAAAAATCATCATCAAAATTATAATTTTGTAAATTATTTATTGTATCTTCTGACGTTTTGAAAGTGTCTCGATTGTTAGAATAATCAATATTGTTATTATTCGAAGTATTGAAGGTATTATGTAATATAGGTTGGTATATAGGTCGTGAAGCTTTGTTAAACGAAGAATGTATTTTGGGGTCATATCTTCTCAGTTTTCAATAAAATCAATATTAGAAGTATCGGGAGTTGTAACAGTCCCTAAAGGTGTTATATTTGATATAGACAAAAAAGGTCTTTCTCGTAATGTTACATGGAACTTTTGCTTTTTTTGTATATTAATTGGCTTACGAAGAGTTGAATGTATATGGTCGAAAGTAGCTTTTATTGGCATTGTTGATTTTTAAGTTTTTTAAGAAAAAAAAAATCACTTAAAAATTCTTAAAAAAATCACTTTTTAACATAGCTAATCAATAATCATTACTGACATCACAATGTTATCATTTTAATTAATATTAACATTCCCATTAATTGTTGAATTTAATTGTACAATATTATGTAATTAAAATTTAAGTATAAAAATGATTGATTTTTTTTTTTCCTTGTTCAAGTTTTTTTTAAAAAAAACGTAAATATAAATTTCGATAATTAAATCGTTTAATCTTTGTTAATTAAAGATGCCTCGAGAAAGAACCAAGAGATGTAATAATAGTCGAGCTAGAGGTGTTACGACCTATCGGTCTACAAGTTTTAGGAATGGCGTGACTACTAGTCATGCTCGAGGTGAGATGATTCGTCAAACTACAAGATCTATAAAACAATCTGAGAATCACGAAGATGATGTTTACGAAAACTATGATTACATAGACGTTGATCAAGATAAAGATATTCAGGAATCTTTTGATAAAACTTGTAATTAAGGTTCTTCTGTTAAAATTCGTGATCAAGATTCACTTAAAACTTCAAATGTAAATCGAATTCAATATATTCAAAATGATATCTCGGCTGTTACAACTCATCAAATCATAAATCAAAGAATTTTACCTGCTGCAAATGCAAATCAAGTAACTAATACTACACAAGAAAATACTTGAGGTTCTTTAAGTTTTCCTGTTACAACCTATAGTAGAAATCGAAGTATAGATAGTAATTGAGATCGAAGTTCTTCTGTTATGACTTATAGTAAGAGTTCTGGAAATCAAAACGTAGATGATACTCGAGACATACAAGAATCTTCTTTTACGCATGATACAGAAGAATCTTCTTCCAAACATCATGATAAAAGATCTCATATCAATGATCTCGGTAAAACATTATTTGAAGTTTTTAGTATTTAAAATCTATAATCATAAATAATAAAATAACAATCTATTACCTTATCAATAATTACGTAGAAAAAACTGATAATTCAAATGATTTTATAGATGATTGCTCCGATATCCATCAAGATTCTAGTAATTCTGTAAAGCAAAAATTTATTTTATGCTATAAACCTTCAGAATAAAAAGAGTCACTAAATGAGATCCAACCGGATTTAAACAAGCAAATTGTTCAAAAAGATAGTTCAATTAATTGTGTATGTATGGATTATTATTTACAGTTACTTTAATAACTATTATGTTTATTTATTATATTTGCTTTTATTTATAGGCAACACCGGATATGTTGGTGATTCTAGTCAATGAAGCAAAGATTTTATTTTTGAGATTACGTAATCCTTCAACTGTTGCATACGATACATTGTTGAAATCAATAGCTCTAGAATTTTTCGAAAATAGTAAGACAATGTTCTTTCTCAAAATGAAATTAGGTTCATATTTTGCAGATCAATGGTCCCATTTAAACACTAAAGCCAGGGCCTATGCTGAAGATTACATTAATAATAACGGGTAATCTTATATCTGAATCTTTTATTTTTATTCTTGTAGTTAATTAACTATTTATTTTATTTTAGTACTACCATCAATAATTTATCAAGTGTTGAAGATTTGGCTTCATATGTAGATGATACCATCATTTTTCAATGCATTAAGAGTCCAATGGCTCAAATTACTGAAGAATGGTGGGAGGATGATACTGATAGTGTGAATGTTTTTAGATTTTTTATCACAACAACCATAAGAATTCATATTATTAACATTCTAAAATGCAATGATGATCCTCACCTTACTAATACATTGGCACTAAATGAGGTCAAGACGCTTAATTACATAACCTGCGAACTTCATCTTCCTCATAATAATTCTACAAATTATGTAAATGAAATTGGTGCAAATTTATTAAATAATTCTTTAAATCAAGACCAAATTCATGGTCGTAAACGTAGGCGTAGTCGTAGATGTGAGCATGGTGGAGATTTCAGAAGAAATAGTAGATAAAGGTAATATTATTTGTTGATAATGATTTTCTGTTGCTTCAGTTCCTGTTTAAAATATCATATTTTTACCTTTTAATTAGTATTATATGTAAACATAACGGAAAAATGTTAGTATAATTGCTTAATATAAATATTGTGATATAATAATAAATACTATTTTATATTAACATAAATTGCTTGTGAACAGTAATTGCAAAATAGCTTTCTATATTAATTTTTTATATTATAATATATAGTGCAAATAATTGTGATATGCATTATATACATATATATAAAAATATAATAAAATATGATAAAAATTATCTATAAAAATATATTGTGATTGTATAATTTACAAATGCTTAAAAATAATACATGTTTATAATATCTTTTATAATATATTATTAAATATATTGCACTATATATCTTAATGCTTAAATGTATTGTATAATAACTTGTACAAATATTATATAATACATTAAGAAAATTTTGTATTGATAGTAAAGTATCATCTATATCTTCATCTTCATCTTCATTATAATTATCATTATTTTCTTCATCATCAGTTTTATCAATATTATAATCTTCATTATCTTCTTCAGAGATTTTCTCACTTGTAGATAAATATTCTATTTCATTTACATTTGCTTCATCCATTTAAATATCAATTTCATTTATATTATCTAAATATTCCTTTAAATTTTATTAATTAATATTACCGTATATTGCGGGCCATAGTACCCGGGTCCTTTGCAAATTTTAGAGGTTTTTAGCCGTACCTAGGGGTACATTACACCGGTAGATACTATACATAGGGGGATACAGAAATTGTAAAATATCTCGGATACTTACCGTGTATAATACTCTCTTGTCACTAACACGATTTGTTGATTATCCGTAACACATTTTACCATAATTATAAATTTCCGTATTGGAAAAGTC